GTTCGATTTTTACCAAGTTCAAAAGTAAACAAATCATGCTATGCGTCCAATACACGTCAACTGGTGAGTCTAATATTCTTTCACAAGTGTGCTGATAATATTTATACTGTTTCTAAACCAATGCAGTAGTCTGCATAATAGTAAATCTTCTATTTTTTTGTGAGAATAAAAATTCAAAGTGGAAAGCAAAAGAATGTAAGAGGGGCATGGGGACGTGACTAATGGACAGAGGAAATGTTATTTTAGTGCCAAGAATGTCTTTCTTGTTTATTCTGGGCCCTATCTGGAAATTGGCATCTGTTGAAATTTGTGTGAAATTGGCAAAATTGCTAAATTCTGACTACTGTATTGGATAGTTGAAATCGGTAAATGGGTGGCTTCTTGTACTCATTCGATAGAAAAAATGGAGTTCTAGTGAAATAGTTATGATTTTTGTCGACTAGTACACTGGAATCGGCCAAAAATAGAGCTCAAAGTGGGCAAAATTTCCGATGCGTAAACATCGTTGAGACTGCTAACTTCACGAGAGTATAATTCCGTAAGTTTTCCATCAAATTTCATACTTTTGGTGCCATTATGATCAGGAAAAGATTCTCTATCTTTTCATAAGAAAAAAGAATTTTTATTTCTTTGAAATTTGGCCAACCCTGAGAACAAGTCTCTGAGAGGGCCTGTCGACCCTGAAAGGGTTAACTGTAAAATATTTTGACATGAATATATTGAGAAATTTTCTAATAGGACATAAGTTACTGTAAAGCAAGAAAAAATCCCAAAAGCCATATAAATTGAATTTATTATAAGAGAAAATATAAGGCCTTACCTCCTTTGCTTTTGCCTTTAATTTTGCTTGTTCTGGGTCTTCAGATTTACTTCTGGACTTCGCTGCTCTCATAAGCATATCTCTCTCTCTTTCATCCTTGCGCTTCTTCTCCATCTTATCTAACTCTTCTAGAAAACGAAGCTGACCTTTAACATCTTGCCGAACCTCATAGCGACTGTCAGTCTGTTGATAACAATTAAATAATTAATATAACATTTCCAAAATTATATGCCTCTGTATCTCATGGGGAGCCTTGTACCCTGGCACTTGGTAAGTTTATTCAAGTCTTACAATATAGTAATATAGTGCAATGAACAATGGGTGGAATATCACCTAAATCTACAGTACAGTAGACCCCCGGTTTTCATAATTAATCTGTTCTAGAAGGTTGACCAAAATCCCAAGTGGCCGAAAACCAAAGTAATATTTCCCATAAGAAATAATGTAAATCCAATTAATCTGTTTCAGACACCAAAAAATATTAACAAAAAATACATTTTATAGAGAATAATTATAGTTTTACATACAGAAAACAATGAGAAATAAATATATAAATGACTAATTTTAATGATAAATGAACATTACATACCTTTATTGAAGACTCTTGTTGGCGAGTAGTATTTATTTGTAGTCCCAGGCGGACTACATCCAAGTGTATGCCTAATGGCTACATACAGTGTGGCCTACAGCCATATTATTACCATCGACATACCATGTTCACTGAGTTTAATCGCTTCTAATAACTACCTTCAGATGCCATTATAAACAAAGGGAAAAGTAATGAATAATTCATGCTGAGAATTGTAAACAAAAGCTTAGGTATCAAGGGCAGTTAGTGGGCCAATGCAGATTCATAGTTTTTCTAACACTGGACCAGAGAAAATGTAATGTATACCCTCCACCGTATGTAAACACTAGATGTTTATATGCTATGTAACGTGTTTCTTACATAAATTTGAAGAAAATATCATAGATAGATTAATGAAAATGTCTATATTAACCTAAAATAAGACAGTTAACGTGCCCAAGAGTGAGTCACGAACATGTGAGTAGCCCCGGCACGTGTCTGGTACCAACAATTTCCGAGGGAATGTACGAAACCCGAAGGGAAATTTCACCGAAAGAAAGTGCTTGAAATCCAAATTGTACAATTTCCGCACTGGCCAAAAACCGGGGGTCCACTGTACTTTTGATCTAGTCAAATACAGTACAGTAAAATAATTACTTTAAAGTACAGTGGACCCCCGCATAACGATCACCTCCGAATGCGACCAATTATGTAAGTGTATTTATGTAAGTGAGTTTGTACGTGTATGTTTGGGGGTTTGAAATGGACTAATCTACTTCACAATATTCCTTATGGGAACAAATTTGGTCAGTACTGGCACTTGAACATACTTCTGGAGTGAAAAAATATCGTTAACCGGGGGTCCACTGTACTGTATTGTAATGAATTATTTATTACTTTTCTTTCCAACAGAACATATGATGCCTATCCATAAAGACTACCTTATAACTTTTCAAATTATTTCCATGTACACAGGAAGGCCAATACTGTATAGTGATTGCTCGAGTAATAAACTACATGAGGCAGAGCCTAGGCCAAATAAAAGCCTGTCTGGTTAGACCTATCATTAGGCCAAATTCAGATTTTTTTTTTGTGTGACTAGCTTCACTGAAAATGTCAGAGTAATTTTATATACTGTAGGACAGTATACTGTATCTTATTTACATCTGAACTAATAATGAGTAAAAAAATATATACAAAACATAAGCAGCTCTAATAAGCTGGCCTCAGTTAAGGAGATGTACAGGTATTTTTTTTTTTTTGACACTTTCCCTCCCCCACCTCTCATGAACCAATTATCATAGGTGCAAATTTTCTACATGCAGTTTTAAGGGTAGCATTCTGACCTCAAGATCTGGTTAACTGTTGCAGTGTAAGTTTAAAAGAGAACCAAATGTACAGTATGTCAAAACACCAACATTACACATACCTTTATGATATCCAGTCTGTGATCAGAGATGACTGCTAATTTTTCAACGATAGTTTTAAGACGCTCCTGCGTTGCATGGGATACCAGAGCAACCACATCTTTTGGAGCATCATCCAAACCATGTTTTGAACCTACAAAAATTACAAATTTGTTTACAATTACAAAACAATATTTTTCAAGAATTTACACACATTAATGGAAATGTTATAAAGTTCATAAAACTTCAGCCCATAAATTGGGGTGAAAGATTGTGTAATTATCTATTAGTAATTAAGAGAATACAGAGGTCAAGCTGTACTAATGATAACTTCAATAGATTTCCAGAGTTGCATACACATTCTTTTCTTGGAGTTCATTCCAGCGGTCACCCACTTTGTACAGAAAAAATACTTTACTTTATCTTCCTGCAAAGCTTATATCCTAATTTGAAATTATGGCTTCTCTCTTACTGTTGCTCAAACCAAGCAAACTTCCTTATATATTTTTGTTATTCCTGATCTCAATTGTAATTATTACACGCTTCTTTAATCCTTTCTTAAAATACAGGCATTTCAGTCTGAAGTTCATATATTCATCTCTACAATTCATTTTGTTGAATGTCTTTTTTTTTCTTTTTAGCAGTATACACAATATTAGAGAAGCACGTACATTCAACTTCTATCTAAACATCTAATATATTTGTTTACCATTTCATCATGTAAACAATTAAAAATTATTTTGATGTCTGCTTGTAGGGTGCAAATCTTTCTCTGGTAATTTTGTGCTCTCTACCACCTAAACATCCTAGCTCTAGCTTACTTTATTTCTTTAATCCTACCTCTCATACACAACCTACAGGCAGAAGTGTCTCCACACTTTCTATGCAGTAGAGGTTTGGGGGTGGCAGTCTGGTTGGAAAGGAAACAAGGACTTACAATATACTGAAACTGCATTATTATTATTATTATTACTATCATTATATTTGGCAGACTCTGTGAGGGCCAATGGAGATTGTGAAGGGGCTTCCTAGTCTCCTCCATGCTGCCACTACCTCCTGGGTAAATCAGTGATCCAGGTCACTCTTTTAACAGGAAGTACCGTAGTGAGTACTGAATCGAGGATTATAAACCAACTCCAACTTCTAGTTCGTCAATCCTATCAAATTATCCTCTTGAGAATTGTGTCAGGTAATAAGCATGAATTATTATTAATAACTGAGTTTGGACTCCATGAAATTCATATGCAAACAGAGATTTTCTTATTTGTCAAAACTATAATCATAACTAAAAATTAAATACAGTATATAAATTACTGCGAAGGTGCATGAGTGTGTTAGGAGTGAATGGAGACGAATGGTTTCTGGGACCTGACAAGCTGTTGGAGTGTGAGCAGGGTAATATTTTGTGAAGGGATTCAGGGAAACCGGTTAGCCAGACTTGAGTACCTGAGGTGGGAAGTACAATGCCTGCACTTTAAAGGAGGGGTTTGGGATATTGGCTGTTTGGAGTGACATCTAAACTGTCGTATCTGAGTGCCTCTGCACAGACAGTGATTATGTATGAGTGATGGTGAAAGTGTTGAACGATGATGAAAGTTTTTCTTTCTTTTTGGGTCACCCTGCCTCGGTGGGAAACAGCCAATGTGATAAAAAAAAAAAACACTTCTTTACAGTTAAACTTAGATTTCTTGGAAGTTTAACATAAATATGTTGTTTGAAGGGGAGGTACTACCGTCCTGCCAAGCGAGTGTAAAACGAAAGCCTGTAAATTGTTTTACATGATGGTAGGATTGCTGGTGTCCTTTTTTCTGTCTCATGAACATGCAAGATTTCAGGTATGTCTTGCTACTTCTACTTACACTTAGGTCACACTACACATACATGGACAAGCACATATATACACACCCCTCTGGGTTTTCTTCTATTTTCTTTCTAGTTCTTATTCCTGTTTATTTCCTCTTATCTCCATGGGGAAGTGGAACAGAATTCTTCCTCCGTAAGCCATGCGTGTTGTAAGAGGCGACTAAAATGCCGGGAGCGAGGGGCTAGTAACCTCTTCTCCTGTATATATTAATAAATGTAAAAGGAGAAACTTTCGTTTTTCCTTTTGGGCCACCCCGCCTCGGTGGGATACAGCCGGTGTGTTGAAAGAAAGATGTTGTTTGAAGATAATTAAATGCAAAGATTATTTTAAACAAACTTTTTATTACAACAGCTGTTAATGTGATGATAAAATAATAAAAAAACAGTAATGACATGTTTAGTTATTTGACATTTATATTTAATCTAAGTAAATATACAACAAGTACAGAGTGTTTTTAAGAATATTTTTAGATCAATTGACAGATAAGGAATTATTATAATCTGGCTGAGAGATTCACCTTTATAGGCCTCTTTTTATATGTAGAATTTCTATTCAGGTTGAATCAAACACATAGGATATCAAAGAGGTACAAACATTGGCTTCTTGTATTGTGTCTTCTGTTATAATATGCATAGTATAAATTACTAAATTTTATAGGTAGTAGGTTGGTAGACAGCAACCACCCAGGGAGGTACTACCGTCCTGCCAAGTGAGTGTAAAACAAAAGCCTGTAATTGTTTTATGTGATGGTAGTATTGCTGGTGTCCATTTTTCTGTCTCATAAACATGCAAGGTTTCAGGTACGCCTTGCTACTTCTACTTACACTTAGGTCACACTACACATACATGTACAAGCATATATATACACACCCCTCTGGGTTTTCTTCTATTTTCTTACTAGTTCTTGTTCTTGTTTATTTCCTCTTACCTTCATGGGGAAGTGGAACAGAATTCTTCCTCCGTAAGCCATGCGTGTTGTATGTGGTGACTAAAATGCCAGTAGCAAGGGGCTAGTAACCCCTTCTCATGTATATATTACTAAATGTAAAAGGATAAACTTTCGTTTTTCCTTTTTGGGCCACCCCGCCTCGGTGGGATACGGCCGGTGTGTTGAAAGAAAGAAATTACTAAATTTAAAAAGAAAAACTTTCATTTTTCATTTTGGGTCACCCTGACTCAGTGGGATAAGGCTGGTGCACTAAAAAAAAATGCACAGTAATGAAGATGTTTTAAATGGAAATGGAAAGACTAGCACCTAATGGAGCACAGCTTTTTGGTGCATTAGAAGGCATACTAGCAAAATGGCTAAGAATTTGGCCAAACTGACTAATGGAACTGGCTTAAAATAGGGATCCAAGTGGACATAATCACTGGTGCATAAAATATGCCCAGACTGCCACACTTGCACCTAATTCCCTATGTTTTCCATCAAAGTTAGCATATTTTGTATCATTACCTTCAGAAAAAGATACTCTACTATTTCAGATAAAAACTACTATATTTTTTAAATCACAGTACTTTTGACTCTCATCATTGTGACCCCTGAAATTAAAAGTGCTGACAGTGCTATGATTTAAAAAAAAAGAAAGTTCTTCTGAAACAGTAGAGAATCTTCTCTCAAAGGTAATGACATCAAAAATATGAAATATGATACACAACTTATAGAATTACAGAGGTGCAAAATTGATGGTCTAGGTGCAATTAAAAAAGTGATTTTGTACACTAAGCCCTATTTTAAGCCAATTCCATAGCTCAATTTGACCAAATTCTTTGCTATTTCGCTAGAATGCCTATTGTTCTATCAATTCAGCACAGGAAATTGTCTAATATATATTCACAAATGCACTGATATCATTTATACAATTATTACAATAGTGCATAATAGTAAATTTTCTATTTTTTAGTATAAATAAAAATTCTTTATGTAAATAAAAAAATTAAAATGGAATTCATCTGTAAAGCCTGGAAATGTAACTAATAAACAGAGGAAATGATATTTTAGTACCAGGAATGCCTGCATTGTTTATTCTGGACCCTATTTTAAACACTGTGTGAAATTGGCCAAATTACCAATTTCTTATCACTTTATTGGGTAGTTGAAATAGTTGATTGGGCATTTTCTTGTGCTCAATCGATAAAATAGAAGCAAAAGTAGCGAAATAGCTAAGAATCTGGTCGATTGGAATAATGTAATTGGCCTAAAATAGGAGTCAGAGTGGGTAAAATCGCTGATAGTAAATACCGCTGACACAGTACAATTCGCGAACGTAATTTTGAGAATTTCGCATCAAATTTCAGACTTTTCGTTTTATTACCTTCAGAAAAAGATTCCTCTACCATTTCATGAGAAGAAAATGACAATTTTTTTTTTTAAATTCTTGGACTCTCAAAGGGGTAAATTGGTGAGAAATGGTCGGTTTTCCAGCAAAAGGTTGGTGCCCCCTAACTCTCCTTTCTCGGTCTGTTTAATGGATTTTTATTAGGTTGATTTCAATTACTGGGATAGCCTGAACTATGACCATGCACTCTTAGTTATGGTTTATTAGCTAAAAATTAGGAAAAACATTGATTTTGGTGTGACAATGGATTAATAAATGGAGGATAGGTGTTAAGCAGGAGAAGCCTGGGGAAGTTATTAACCCTTCCAGAGTTTCTGGCGTACTAGTACGTTTTACGCACCAGGGTTATTGACTACTAGTATGCATAAATTCTAGCGCCTTCAAATCCAGCGAGAGAAAGCTGGTAGGCCTACATATGAAAGAATGGGTCTATGTGGTCAGTGTGCACAGTATAAAAAAAAAATCCTGCAGCACACAGTGCATAATGAGAAAAAAAAAACTTTGACAATGTTATTGGTTTAAAACAGCGACTTTGCACTGTATTTTCATTTGGTATTTATGGTTGTAATCTAGTTTTAATGGTCTCATTTTATAGAATGGAAGACATATTGCAGAAATTGAGATGATTTTGATTGGTTTTACAATGAAAAGTACCTTGAACTTAAACTCGAAGTAGAAGAAATGTTCGATTTTTGCAATGTTCAAAAGTAAACAAATCATGCCACGTATCCAATACACATCAACTGATGAGCCTAATGTTCTTTTACAAGTGCGCTGATATTATTTATACCATTTCTACACTAATGCAGTAGTCTGCATAACAGCAAATCTTCTATTTTTTGTGAGAAAAAAATTCAAAGTAGAAAGCAAAAGAAATGTAAGAGGGGTGTGGGGACATGACTAATGAACAGAGGAAATGTTATTTTAGTGCCAGGAATGTCTGTCTTGTTTATTCTGGACCCTATTTGGAAATTGGCATCTTCTGAAATTTGTGTGAAATTGGCAAAATTGCCAATTTCTGACCACTTCATTGGATAGTTGAAATTGGTAAATGGGTGGTTTCTTGTACTCATTCGATAGAAAAAATGGAGTTCTAGCGAAACAGTTATGATTTTTGTCGACTAGTACACTGGAATTGGCCGAAAATAGAGCTCAAATTGGGCGAAATCGCTAATGCATTAACATCGTCAAGACCGCTAACTTTGCGAGAGCATAATTCCCTAAGATTTCCATCAAATTTCATACTTTTGGTGTCATTATGATCAGGAAAAGATTCTCTATCATTTGATAAGAAAAACAATAATTTGCTTTTTCCGAAAAATTTTTGACTCTGAGAACAAGTTTAGGAGAGGGCCTCTCGCCCCTGAAAGGGTTAAAATAATAGTGGCTTTAGTGGCTGGAATGGCTATAGTTTTTTTTTTCCGGGTGTTTTTAAATTGTGATCAATGCATGGGATGGAAGTTATATTAGTCAAGTAGCTGGGAAGCAAGTCAATTTGAAAACTGAGATAGGATTCATATTGGGCAAACTCACCATTGTGTCAAGTGCTCTGACCTCCAACCTTAAGCATGCATAAGTCCGTAAGCACTTTACAAATTTTTTGTTTTTGGTGTTGATACCTTTGGAAAAAAAAATCTATTTTAGAGAGAGAGAGAAAAAAAAAAAAGACAGACTGAGCTTTCAATTTGGGGGGTGCCAACAGCTTAACCCTTTGAGGGTCTGTGCCGTAGATCTACAGCTTTACGTTGAGGGTCCAAACCGTAGATCTACGTCATGAGCTCAGCTCACTCTGATAAGCTGTGAGCAGTAAATTTTGGCCTAGATATGAGAGAATACATGTATGTGGTATGTGTGCACCACATAAAACAAATCCTGCAGCACATAGTGCATAATGAGAGAAAAAACTGGGACTGTAATTTTCGATTAAAACAGCGACTTTGCAGTGTTTTTTCCTATGTTTTTTATTGTTGTATTTGCGATTTCTTGGTCTCAATTGATAGAATGGAAGATATATTACAGAAATAGAGATGATTTTGATTGGTTTTAGTACTAGAAATGGCTTGAAACTGAGCTCAAATTAGCAGAAATGTTAAATTTTTGCCGATGGTCAAGAGTAAACAAATGACCTCACACGTCTAATACATGCCTGCTGGTGGGTCTAGTATACGTTCACAAATGTGGTGATATTATTTATACAATTATTACAATATTGCATAACAGTAAATCTTCTATTTCTTGGTTTGAATAAAAATTCATTATGTGAATAAAAAATCAAAACGGAATTCATTAGTAAAGCCTCAAAACGTAACTAATGAACAGAGGAAATGTTAGTTTAGTGCCAGGAATGCCTGCATTGTTTATTCTGGACCCTATTTTGAAATTGGAGTATTTTGAACATTGCATTAAATTGGCCAAATTTATTTTGTAGTTGAAACAGTTGACTTGGCGAATTCTTGTGCTCAATCGATAGAAGTAATACTAGTGAAATAGCTAAGAATTTGGTCGACTGGAATAATGTAATTGGCCTAAAATGGGAATCAAAGTCGGCAAAATCGCTGATGCGTAAATATTGCTGACACATCAAAATTCGCGAGAGCATAATTTCGTCAATTTTCCATCAAATTTCGTACTTTTTGTTTTATTACTTTCAGAAAAAGATTCTCTACCATTTCATAAGAAAAAATAACAATTTTTTTTTTAAAATTCTTGGGCACTGGTGCACACTTTGAAATTTGGCCTCTGGACCCTGAAAGGGTTAAGGAGTAAACCAGTGTAAGTTTGCTCAAAAGCAGCAAAGAAGTGTGTCATACAAAGGGTGTATATCAATAACCAACCTGAAGAAAAGCAGGATTAAAATTAGATAATGCATTTAATTTAGTACAAAAATGAGAATAATAAAAAAAAGGACACTGTATTGATAGCCATTTGAACACACATCCTAAATATTTTTGTTGGTTCATCTGGAGACTGCAAGGATTTGACAATGCTGTTTGGGGAGTATGAAGTCACCTCATTGAAGAGCATCTGGCTGGGGTGCCTCTAACCCCATTCTTTTTTTTTTTTCAGTGCAGTTAGGGGAAATCACTAATAGATTAACCAGCAAGTATGACACCTGGTTCTTGGATGTGGCACTTTGTCAGACACGAATATCCCTACTAGCAGAACACCAACTGTTGAAGCCACAGAAAGAGGCCCTGGGACACGTCCTTAATCCTTCCAAATGTGAAGCCAGCTCAGTCAACTATCAATGAAGTGAGATTCATCCTACAAGAAGCCTCAACCATTGTCCCCATTGATAACATCCTGCTTGGAGCAACTTTGGGGTCCAATGCCACTGCAGCAAATCTCGGGGACAAACTGAACGATCTGAAGAGGATGGAACAGAATGACAAACCAATTTATAGATATAAAAAATACAGATAGATTGATGGGGCAACTTCAAAAACACTAGTTATGAGCTCTAATAAAAACATGAACCAGATACTGTGAGTATAACCAAAACCAAATAAGGCACTGTTCAATATAAGCTGTGCAATAGAGAGAAGGAAAGATGCAAAAAATAACAAAAAGTATGTGGCACAGTATGGAAACATTGGTAAAACAAGCACTCCAAGATACAGAAATTAAAATCCAGAACATGAATACAAGACATATCTGTGGTTGAAATTCAAAACAAAAAGAAAAAAACCAAATGTAAAATCATACAAATTCAACCCCTTCAACAAAGTGGAAGAATGATTAAATTGAACATGTTGAGGTACATCTGGCATGGGAAGGTGGCAGACACCATGGTTCACAGAATCCACCACAGGCAGTATGGAGCTTTTCAGTCATCAGAACATTACGCTCTGAGTTCCATGAACCACACTAGAAATCCTGCCAAAAGCTTTGCAAAGGAAGTTGAAAACTTGGAGAATACTTAGTATGCAGAGTACTGAGACACTGTGACAAGGACAATTCTTGAAACCAATTTGCTAGAAAGACAATGATTTAGATGCCAGAGGGATTATCAAATCATACTCGTGGCGAATGAGTCATAAAACTCCAGGCCAGTGTGCAATTGTGTCATTACAAGGGTAAAGTCTTGCATCCACAGGTAGAGATTAGCTTAACCCCTTAACTTTCCAAATGTAGATCTACGTTCTTACCACTAGTGCTCCAAACATAGATCTACATTTATTTTTTTCCTGCCTCCAAATTTGGCATGATTGGCCTGAGATGCCTGGTTAGCATAGAATGGGTCTTAACACTCGGTGTGTGCAGTATTAAAAAATCTTGGACTACTTAGAACCTTGTGGGAGCACCAGCTCAACTGAGCGCCAACTAGAGCAAACAGCATGGAAAACACCAAGGATTCACTGATGTCATGTCGTATTAACACTCCCCTTTTAAGAGGAAAGAGATATTGACCCCGAGTTTAGTTGCTTTGAGGTGGATGTGGCCACAGGTGGTTGTGGAAATATCAAAAACCTTGATAATAACCCCTATGCAACATTTATGCAACACCCTTTCAATTTTGGTACCAGTGGTAGTGTCATCCTGCCAGAATGTCCTATAACCTATAACATGTAATAAGTGTTCGGCAGGCTGGCAGGCTGGCTGGCTGGCTGGCTGGCTGGCTGTCTGTCTGTCTGTCTGTCTGTATCTATTTCTGTCTATCTCTTTCTCTGTCTCTATCTCTGTCTGTCTATCTGTCTCTATCTCACAGGTACACGTATGTAAATACAATTATACATAGTGTCAATTGTGGAAAAAGACACTTATGTACAGTTCAGGACATTAATTAAGGAAATGTTTTGCCACAAGTGGCTTCTTCAGTCCTAATACAGAGAAAACTAAGAAAACGCATATGTATAGTAGCAGAAGTCAGGTGAAGTGACACGTGGGTAGAGGTGGTAGTAGTAGTAGTAGTAGTAGTAGTGGAACAAAGGAGGTGAGACGGATGGCTAAAGAGGGACCTGCTGACATCATGTAACAGCAGTTCGCAGGATGGGTAATATCCTATTGATTAGTAATTTTGAAATACTGTAACTACCGGATTTTTGCTTTATAGTGTTACTAACAGTGATTAGTGCAGCTTCAATGCATTTTCTCTATCTTAAGTCGTCTTCTTTAATCACTAGTTTAGCTTCATTGAATTTCATGAGGTGTCCAACATCGGCCCTATGTTGAACACACACATTTTTGTGGTCACCATTTCTGCAAGGATTTTTGTGTTCTGCAATCCTGATGTCCAGAGATCTGGCTGTTTCCCCTACATATACTTTGTCACACCCCCCCACATGGTATAGTGTAAATTCCTGCACTTGTGCCAGGATCATGCTTGGGTTTTTGTATCAGGTTCCTAATAGTAGTTGAAGAGCTGGTAGATATTTTAGCCAGTCTTCTGTCAAATATTTTTGAAACATTAGTGGCAACGTTGCTGACCGGTAAAATGATGTAACTTGGAGGCTTTTCTTCAACTTGACTGGTGTTGGTCTTGCTGAGGATACTTGTCGCACGTTTCCTGCAGTCACGTATGAAGTGTAAAGGAAAGTGTAGTGAACTAAAAGAGTTGGTGATGTATGTGCCTTCTTCTTCGAGGAACTGCGGACTGGAAATTCTGTAGGCTTAAGGAGGTCGCCCGAATGCTTTAGGTGAGCCTGACTGATTGTACCCAGGACCTTAGACAAATATTTCGCCAAAACTCCTGCCAGGCTGTGTGGGGCGCTGCCAATTCCAGATGTAATGGGTCTCACAGACACATTTGGTTTGTGGGTCTTTGGTAAACCATAAAGTCTTGCTGACTTGGGGTTGGTAGGGATGAGGCGCAAGAGCTTTTTACCTTCTTCTGATTTCCTGAGTATGCTGCGGGTTCGGTTACATGGATGCGGTACGTTGATGATATTTTGGTCATTGTACCCAAAAATCTAGACGTATGTGGCATCCTCAACACCAACAACACTCTGGAATCTACTATTAAATTTACACTAGAGGAGGAGAAGGACAACCAATTACCTTTTCTCGACGTTCTCCTACGCACAGGGGAAAACAGACTTTCTTTTGAAGCCTACCGGAAACCTACCTACAAAAACGATCTTCTACGTTTCTTCTCTCACCATAACACAAGAACTAAAAGAGGGGTAGTTATTGGCTTCTTTCTGAGAGCCTACAGAATTTCCAATCTGCAGTTCCTCGAAGAAGAATGCACATACGTCACCAACTCTTTTAGTTCACTACACTTTCCCCTACACTTCATACGTGACTGCAAGAAATGTACAACATGTATCTTCAGCAAGACCAACACCAGTCAAGTTGAAGAAAAGCCTCCAAGTTACATCGTGTTACTGGTCAGCAATGTTGCCACTAATGTTTCAAAAATTTTTGACACAAAACTGGCTAAAATATCTACCAGCTCTTCAACTACTATCAGGAACCTGATACAAAAACCCAAGCATGATTCTGGCACAAGTGCAGGAATTTACACTATACCATGTGGGGGGTGTGACAAAGTATATGTAGGGAAAACAGCCAGATCTCTGGACATTAGGATTGCAGAACACAAAAATGCTTGCAGAAATGATGACTGCAAAAACGTGTGTTCAACATAGGGACGATGTTGGACACCTCATGAAATTCAATGAAGCTAAACTAGTGATTAAAGAAGACGGCTTAAGACGGAGAAAATGCATTGAAGCTGTCAGTAACACTATAAAGCAAAAATCCGGTAGTTACATTATTTCAAAATTACTAATCAACAGGATATTACCCATCCTGGGAACTGCTGTTACATGATGTCAGCAGGTCCCTATCTAGCCATCCGTCTCACCTCCTTTGTTCCACTACTACTACTACCACCTCTACCCATGCGTCACTTCACCTGACTCCTGCCACTATATACGTATATGCGTTTTCTTAGTTTTCTTTGTATTAGGACTGAAGAAGCCACTTGTGGCAAGACGTTTCCTTTAATAAATGTCCTGAACTGTACATAAGTGTCTTTTTCCACATCTTGTCGGTAACACCATACCATTTCCTCATAATGTCAATTACCAAGGAAAACCCAAAAAATCCAGACAAAGTACTACACTGTGTTTGTACATAATATAATGCATAATAAGCATGACTGGCAACTGGCAAGTAATACGCATTTTCACTTGTTCAGGAATCAGATGTGATCGTGTGTAATACCAGTTAGTTCATGAGCAACTCTCTGAGACAAGAGAGAGAAGCAGACAAAGACACACACACACACATACAGGCAGAGACAGACACACACAGGAAGACAGAAAGACAGGCAGACATAAATACAGACACAGGCAGACAAAGATAAGCAGACATAGCTAGACAGACAGACAGACATGTTTATGTGTAACAGTGAAAACGAAAAAAGACAGGGTTCCATGCAGCAGTGCACGATCATCAAGTGTCACTCCACTGCTTACCCTGTCAGCAGTTTAGTAACACTCGTCCTAACACCATGCTTCAAGGAGTTTCATATATACTCCAGTGTGTCTAAAACATTGCTGGGACCTATAAATACTTTGTATATACAGTGGACCCTCAACCAACGGCATTAATCTGTTCCAGAGGGCTTGCCGTTGGTCGAAATGGCCGTTGGTAAAGTTAATTTTCCCCATAAGAAATAATGGAAATAGAATTAATACGTGCCTGACACCCCAAAGTCTGAATTTTTTTTTTTTACATGAAATATACATTTCCTTATATGGAAAGGAATGGGACATGCAAAATAAACAATAATAATAAATGCTATTTACCTTTATTGTAGAGTTGCTGATGAGTGATGTGCCAGCAGCAGGGGAGATCCAGGATTGTCTATTGCTTGGAAGGAGAATCCCCTTCCATAAAGACTTCAGGTACCATGTCCTTTGGTGGGGTTACCTCCCTTCTTGGATTTTTAATGCCACTAGGACCAGCTTGAGAATCACTGGACCACCCTCTACCACCACCACAACCAGTACCACCCTCTACCACCATCACAACCAGTACCACCCTCTACCACCATCATAACCAGTACCACCCTCTACTACCATCACTACCACCCTCTACCACCATCATAACTATTACCACCCTTTACCACTGTCACTACCACCCTCTACCATCATCACTACCACCATCACAACTAGTACCACCCTCTACTGTCATCACAACCAGTACCACCCTCTACCACCACCACTTTCGTATTTTTCTATAAACTTTTTCTTGAATTCTATCATGTTTCCCACATACTTTACCAAAGGGCTGGCTCTAGAAGCTTTCTTGGGGCCCATGGTGGCTTATTTAGCGGTTACACGCACTAGACAGTGGAATAATCCAAAATGTATGGGAGGCACACATGGAAACTGACCACAACAGCTTGTAAACAA